TCCAATGGTTCCTATGGTGATTGCCCAACTCTTTTTTTAAATATTTCAAATATTTAATATAGTCAAAGATACACTGTACAATAATGCACAGGAACAGGCAAAGATGTAACAGATAAGTAATACATAAAATGCAAATCTTAGTCAAAAGGCCTGGCATAAGACACACATTAAAATAAGAAAAAAAAAGTAATAATTCGTTCTTCAGAAGAGGATGATCAGTTGTTATAATGGCACTATTAAACCAAAGATAAAAAAAAAATTCCCGCTGAAAAAAATGACAACTAAATAAGGGATGGGACAAGGACAATTGTATGAAATGTATAAGCAAAATGAAACCGTGAGGGTGACTTACCTGTTCTAAAAAGTAGTGCAAAAATTTATTGGTGAGGAATCATCATTGGAATTACCGATCTTGACACATGCTGGTTCCGCAGGTTACTTTGATGACTGCCCACTTTTACAACTTTAGATCACCTTTTAGAACAGAACACTTTCATAAATCTCCTCTAATAGGTTTAATATTAAAATTAACAAAAAACAATCTCAAGTACAGATGGCGCTAGAAACAGACCGAAGAAATTATAGTGAGAAGCTGCACCTTCCACAGTGTACAAGCTCAATAACACAAAAAAATGGAAACAACAAATAAGGTGTGCTGTGCCTTTAAATTATGTCCTTAAAAATATATATTATATAAAATTGTCTGCAAATATAATGTACTAAAGTGCATATATTATAACGTGCAATATTTGTGAAAAAAACTGTGAAAAAGTGCCACACTCACTTACATGCTAAGATTAGTGAGTGTGGCACTTTTCGCACTGGTTTTTAATCACTTTTAGTATCAGTAAAAACTGAACAAAACAATGTAGATATCACTGCAGTGCAGTGCACTGGAAAGCCTATATCCCCCTCAGATTGGAATGGACTGAAATGGAGCACTTAAGTCCCCTTTCTTCCCAACTATGCTGGACAAAATGATAATTCTTTAAAAATAGATTCACGGCAGCTGAAGTTCAGTAGTTCTGACAGGTTGGGAGAAAAGTGAGTCCCAAGATATTTAAGTGTAGTTAAACATTAAAAATGTATACTTTGAAAATGTCCCAAGTTCTTTAATTATGCAGTAGGGATACAGAAGGTGACAATGTTATTAAATGAACACTCTCTGGCTCCCCTTTATTGTAAGTAATCAAACCAGAATAGAACAGTTGGACTTCTTACCTGGGATTTGCCGGGTTCTGCTTCCCACCTCAACTACAGCTCCACTACAGGTGATGCTCTCAGCCAATGATCAAGCTGCACTGCAGGGCTAAGCTAGAGCTCCTGGCTTTCCAAAAGCTGTAATGGAGGTGGGGACCTGTGCTTGGAAGACCCCAGATAAAAAGGCTAATCTATTTGAAAATTATCTTAAGCTTTTATCCATGACAATATGTGGTCTCTCAAACCAGTTCAGTGGAACAATATCTGGTTGACCTTGCCAAATCATTTCAGTGTCAGTGGACAACAGAAGAGAATAATTGTACTGACCAGACTGAGTGTTGGATCAAGTTCGCTCTTTAGCAGGCCCAAATCCCATTTGATCTAAGTTAATACTTAGTAAACTAAGCATATTCCACAAGGCACTACAGCACTCATATGGTGCCCCCGCCTTTCTCCCTCGACACCACACCAGTTTCACACCCTCAGACACCTTTCCAGTGTTTCTTGTGCCAGATGACTAACCAAGCCCCTTTTTAATTACATCATTAAGCCATGCCCGCTTCATGACATCATCACATCATTGTTATTGACGGCTTACGTTGGGGGGGGGGGGCTATCAAGGATATGCCCCCTGTTATTTGACATTTCTGTCTCTTGTTGTTTGTATGTTAAGCCTGGCCACACAAAGATATAATACATGCTGCTATCTACTGCTTTTACTGTACTTGTGTGAGCTTTTTCTGCGTGGCGGGTTACCAATCTTAAGGTTCACATTAAGAGGAAATATTGATGTGTAGCTAGAAGAAAGCAGGGGTCTATACTTCTCATAAGACTCAGGGTAGGAGTGTGTTCATTCAGCAATTGCAATAAAACACTTTAAAAATTACAATGTATGGCTAGCATGAGACTTCTTTTAGTATGGTATAGAGAACAGCCAGGGCCTGGACTTGAACTTGCAGCAGTAGATGCAATACCTGGAGCCAATTTGGCCTGGGTGATTGGAGATTCAAATAGGATAACTATATCTACGTCAAGGATAGTAGGGATATAGAGATGGATTTGGTTGAGTCAGATTTGTTTGTAGTGTTGGATTAGGGGCTTCAATGGCCTGAAGCTAAAAATTAGAGTGGGGCTAATTACAAGATTTGAATTCGCATGTCTAGAGGCTAGTAGTTAGAAGAGCATGTTCCTGTATATAACTATAACTAGACTTTGCAGTCATATTGAAAACATTTTCACATGCATATAAAGCTATCTTTACACGCAAACGAAATCACAGTGAAATCCACCTACAGACGTCAGTGTAGGATGTGCTATGTCTGTTCACCAACAAGCTTTATTATTATTTTTATACATGCACATATTCCTCATCTGCAAAATGGATAAAAGAAAAATGCAACATAATAATCACCAATGCTTCAGGTAATTTATTTTTTGGGTGGGGGGAGGGTAAAAAAACAAAACAAAAATGTGTCACGGGCTCTGATTCATTAGTGTAAAGATAAATAACATTTCAAGGTGTTCTGTGTGCTTTGTATATTGGTCTCCTATACATCACCCGTGGGTTGCTATCTTATTGATCTCAGAATTTGTGTAGAACAATAAGTGCGAAATTGCCGTGTGACAGCCTAAAGTTGGAGTTACGCTCACACGCTGAGTGGGACAATAAGTAAGTATACTCCTCGACCTCGTCTGTTTTTTGAGCTCAGAATCATTTACATCAAATGATGCGTGCTTGGAGGTGCACTTATAGACTGAGCAGAGGAACAAGCTTTACAATGCTATAATCTGGTTATGTGGAAGTACAAGTAAGTACATGTATGGTAGTCATCCAGCCTTCGTCCTTTTCTAATGTGGAGAAGGCCCATTTTAGTGTTCCTAGCACTGAGCAGCACTGTGCTTTTACTTCCACCTGTGTCCAGTGGAGGGGCCACTCTTACTGCTGGAGGCTGGATGATGGCCATACCTTATACACCTTTCCATTTTCCTTGGATCAGTTATAGGATTTTTTATTCAAGTGTTGGTTTATTTAGTTTTTCACATAGGGTGTTGTGATATGTTTTTATACACTACTATTTACATTTGATTAAATTTCTGTGGCGTGCACAAAGAAGTTTTGCCCATTAAAGTTATTGCACTTATTTTAGATATAGGAAGAAATACAGCATGGTACAATACAAGGGGAATGAGTGTTAATAGAAGAGGCAGGAGAGGTAGATAAAGACACACAAGGGGGTAGGAGAGTGGTTGTAAGATGCACAAAGGGGAAGAGGGACTAAAAGACAGAAACACTTAGGCACTTAATGTGTGGGAGGAGTGAAAAGACACACAAGAGGATTGGAAATTAGTGAAAGGTAGACAAAGATATAGGAGACAACATGCAGGGAGAGATAGGTGGGGAAAATAACTGTGAGAGACTTATAAGCAGAGGAAAGACACGAGTCGGGAAAGATGGGAAGGGAGACACAAGTTGGGATAGGGCCATATTACCTATAAGACAACCATAGGCAAGTGCCTTGAACTCAGGGCAATGGTAAGGGCCCAGTTCGGGGGCCCCTACACATCCCTTCATTCCTACATTATTCTGTCAGATTACTCATATCCACCTTAATAACGTTTTTATTTTATATCCCATGTATGTACACCACTAACAAGAATAGACACACAATCTACTCTATTAAACAAAATAGAGTACCTTCAATCCTATTCGTATTCTTATCAGATTCCCTCCCCGTATCTCTAGAGAAAATTAACCAATTTCCCAAATTAAAAAAAAAATCACCATGATACACATGTGTAATTAGTATTCCATTTATTAAGTATATTTTTCAAAATCAAAACTGTGTCATTATATGTGACAGGTATATAAAAGACTTATGGGGCAAAATAAAGTTGGATATGATTAAAAAATAGATTTAGCTATGGAAGCAGCCAAAATTTGGGCAACCTCAGGACTCACGTAGAGTCATCCTTCAGCACTCAGGAAAGGAAAAACCCCCTATGGAGGAAACCTCTGGGGAACCATGGCTTGAAGGACAGCCCTTCCCTCTGGGCATTAAGAGGTGAATGTGGATATGTGAATAGAAATAGGAGTTTCTCTGTTTACGTAACAGATTAACAGAGAGATCAGAGATAGACAGACAGACAAATAGATACACAAATACTAATTTACAGAAATAGAACAATAGATAAATATTTTCTTCCTCCTCCCTCTTCCCCTGGGCCCTTCCCGAAATAGTGCACCCCAAGCATATAAAGATGGCTGTCCCCATTGAAAAAACGTTAATATTTGATAAAGAGCTTGCAAGTTGATAGGGGCAGCTATAGATTTAGTGAGACCTAGTTTCACTGCGTGGCCTCATCCCCCTCATCCTCTCCAGCCTCATAATTACCTTTGATTATGTTCCTCTACATCCTTAATCCCCTCAAATTGTCTGCCTGACAATAATAATTTCATTATCACAGCCCTATAACTACCTCAAAAACATCTCTGTAATCATCACTCCCTACCCTATAACCCCAATCAATCACATTCCTCTATCGCCTTAAAGGGGCACTATAGTCACCAAAGCAACTATAGCTTTATGAAGCAGTTTTGGTGTATAGATTATGGAGTTTAGGAGTTTAATCACTTTTGTTTCGTCTGATGCAGACCTAGCCACACCTCCCCTGGCTGTGACTCACACAACCTGCATGAAAATAAAATTGTTTAATTTTCAATCAGATGTAACTTACTTTAAAGGTTTTAATCTCCTGCTCTGTAAATTGAACTTTACTTACATACAGAAGACTCCTACAGGGTTTACAAAGCTATGAACAGAGCAGGAGATAAGAAATTACAAGTTAAACAGTAGTTTTCATACAGGAAGTGTAAACATTAGATAACTCTTTACAGGACGTGTTTTGGAAGGCTGTGTAAGTCACATGCAGGGAGGTGTGACTAGGGCTGTATAAATAAAGTGATTTAACTCCTAAATGGCAGAGAATTGAGCAGTGAGACTGCGGGAACATGATCTATACCAGGGCTGCCTAACAGGTAGATCCCCAGATGTTGTAGAACTATGTTTTGTCATTCTAAAAGCATTCTAAAGGCATGAAAAGCATCATGGGAGTTGTAGTTCTACAACATCTGAGGATCTACCTGTTGGGCAGCCCTATACAAAAGAACTGCTTAATTAATGACTATAGTGTCCCTTTAATCAAAACCCCCAGCCTCAACTAACGATCTCATCACCCCTTCCCCAATCCCCATATACACGTCAACCATCTTAATTCCATCCCCTTTAATTCTTATTGCATCACCCTTATCCTCTTTATCCCCTTACCTATTTGCATAAACACTTCCCCACATCCTTATAATTCCCTCATTATACCTACCCCGATCACTTTACCCCACCCTACTAGTCATCTCATCACCTACGATAATGACATCACCTCATCACCATAATATCTGACTTAGCCCCAATCTTGTCATGCCAATAATAACATTTACACTAGCCCCATAGTTTTCTTCACCACATCCCCACAAGCCCTTGCTCCAATTCACATTATCACAAACATACAAGACCAATAGTCACCTCACCATAATCTCATAATGTCCTTAATTCAATCACCATAACTGCAAAAAAACATGTCCTGTTAATCCCCTAATCAACTTGACAGCCACCTTACCCCATCAATATTAATCCCTTATTTAGCCAAGCACTATAAACATCTCAAACCCATTTTTATAATCCCCTCATCACTTCCATCCTCATAATCCAAATGAATCACATTAATCTGCCCCTGGTATACTGTAAATAGTCCCTGCATGATAGTATTATTTACATTACTTCATCTCCCCACTTGGTATCCCCAGCCACACAAATACATAAAAAAACATTTTTATAATCCCTATCACTCTATCCCATAATCCCTATCAGGCCCAAATTTTTGGTCACATAGCGCCTTCATCCAATCCTCTTATAACCCCATCTCCACATAACCCTCAACCATCTTAACCCCATTACCTTTAATTCTCATTGCATTACCCTAATCCCCTTAATTTCCTTACTCATCAATACCTCACCCATATCTTAATATCTATTATTACTTTACCCCACCCTACTAATCATCTCATCACCTAATGTCTTGATCACATTACCTCATCATCCAAATCCTTCACCTCATCCTCCTATTCTCCACACCCAGTCCCAGTTTTCTACTACACTATAATATAATTTACCTCAGCCCCAAATGCTCTTAACCACATTTGCATAATCCCCTTTTAATAATTAAAATGAAAAAAACACACAATCCCCAGCCCTATAATCACTTGACCATAATCTCATAAATCCATATAATTATCACATTACCTCATCCCTTATGTCCTTCACCCCATCCCCGTAAATCTCTTCACCTCACCCCATGTAAATAATCCACTAATCATCCCAGCCCCATAAATACCTCAAAACAATCTTTATAATCCCCTCATCATTCCCTACCCCAGAAACCCAATAAATCACATTCCTCTATAGCCTCAATATACTCTGCCTGATAATCATAATGACATTACCCTATCTTCCCAAACCCACATAAACGTCAACTATCTATCATATCACCCCTTCCCCCAATCCCTTCATAACCCTATTCCCACATAGCCCAATTCTCTCACATCATAATATTTTACAGCCCAGCCCCATGATCTCTTCACTACATCCACATAAACCCTTCACTCCAATCCCCAAAACCCAGTCCCATCATTACCTCACATAATCCCCTCATAACCCCTTATCACACTTAATCTCAATCACATTACCCCAATTACCCCATCCCTGTGATCTACTCTTCCCTAATGTCTTAATCAGAATACCTCATTACCTAAATTCCTTACGTCAACCCCTTAATGTCTTCACCCAGCACAATCCTCTCGCACCATAATATCATTCACCCAGCCCCATAACCTCTTTACTATATCTACATAAACCCTTTGCTCCAATTCTAAAACCCCCCTCCCATCACCACCTCACCCAAATCCACACAACCACTTCACCCCATCTAAATAATTCCTTAATCTTCTCCAGCTCTATAAACCTCAAAACCATTCTAATAATCCCCTTATCACTTTCTACCCTATTATTAAAATCAATCACATTCCTTAATCCCCCTTTAGCCCCACAATACTCCCTGCCTGATAGTCATAATTATATTACCCCGTTTCCCCAATCCCTTCATAAACCCCAAACCCAAACTGCCTTAAATCACCCATCATACCACATCTTTGCACTATCCCCACATTCCTCATACCTATAGTAACTCCATCCCTTTTATTTCTCATTGCATCACCTTAATTTACATTATTCACCATACTTTCATAAAAACCTCACCCGAACTGGAATCATATTTCCTATTACATAGTACCTTCACCACAGCCCCAGTCATACTTTCTATTCAATATCCCATCATCATAGCCCCAATCATATTCTCTATTCCTATTGATATTACACAGACCCAATCACATTTACTTTCCATAATCCATTGACCCCAATCACATTTCATATTCCTTATCCCATCACCCTCACCCCAGTTTTTCCCTCAACCCCAATGACATTTACTTTCCATAATCCATTGGCCCCAATAACATTTCATATTCCTAATCCTCACCCGCACCACAGTCAAATTTACTTTACATAATCCCGTTACTCTCAATCCCAATCACATTTCCTATGCCTAATCTCATCACCTCAGCCGCAATAACATTCCCTATCCCATAAACCCTGGTCCAATCACACTTGATATCCTTAATCCCATCACCTAAACCCTAATCACATTACCTATTTCTAATCCCTTCCCCCCGTCCCATTTGTACTACTTATTCCAACAACCCCAGTCATAATCATCAGCCATCCCAGGACTACCATCCGCAATCACATCATTCATTCCAACTTTCATCACTTCCAGTCCTAATCACACTACCCATTCTTCCTAATTCCTTTACTAATTCATTTACCCCAAACTCCAGTCACAATACCAATTTGTTATCTCATCAGTCCTAATCTCATTAACCATTCATAATATTGGAATATATGTCACCAAGCACTGGGTACATAACTAATCCCTAATACCATCATCCACAGCACCAATTGCATTACTAATTCAAATCCCATCACCTACGATTGCAAATCACATTACCCATTCCTAATCTAATTATTCCCAGCCCAAATCACATCACTCATTCCTACTCACATCACCAGCAGCCTCAATCACAACCATTCTTATTGCCATCACCCAGCCCCAATTACATCACTAATTCCTAATCCCATTATTCCCAGCATTAATTAAATCACCCATTGCTAATTTTACCATTCCCAGCCCCAATCACATTACCTATTCCTAATCTTTACATTCTCAGCCCCAATCACATAACACCCATTCTTAATACTATCACCCAGCCACATTTACATCACTCATTCATAATCCCATCATCCCAGCCCCAATAACATCCCCAATCAAATTACCAATCTCTAATCCCATCTCCCAAAGCCCCACCAACTACATTACTAAACCCTTTATCACCCCTTCAACTCTCAGCCCCCAAGTTTCACCTCTCCAAAACCTGGTGGTCGAGAGCTTCTGTGATTGATCACCTGTCCCTTTGTGCTGCTCCTAAGTATGTTATTTTTTGCTTAGTTTAACTTCTCATGAATTGCCTCAGATAAGGTGAGCTGCCAAAATAAGTGAGGCCTTAGGTGGTCACTTCATGCTGCCTCTGTGAGTTGATTCCCAAACATAACACCCCCAGCAAGAACCTCCAAACCTCAAGGTCAAATTTAGGGTAGCCAAGCTCCAAGTCTTCAAACACATCCAGATGAGGAATATATTTCTGTGTAATGAATATGCCAGAGCTATGTCTATGAGGTAATAGAATACTCAAGCAGGTATAGCAACAGTTACCATTATGACATTATGACTTTACAACATGGTATCACTATGATGTCACAGCTAAGCATCACTGATCCAAAGGTGGATGGGACAGATTTGTATAATCAATATAAAATTGTCTATACAATCAGTATACATTTTATGTCAATCTACAAGGAACCTTCTCTAACCCAGAAAGTGTCCCACAATCTTGTTCTGATCTTTAGTCACTGAATTGCTCTGCTGCTCCAATTTATGTATTTCTTCCGATATGTCTTATCATTCCGTTTCCACCCATACAATTATTTTACTTTGCCTCAAATTATATTTCCCAAAAATTTGTGGTAAATTGAAATCCAAGGTTTTTCCACTCTGCCTTTTTGACATAAAATTTGGACAAAGATTTGACAACTAACTGCAAGTCACAACAATAAATACCATAACTTTTCTTGTTCCTCACTAGGGTTTTAGCTCTGTTTAAACTGGTGTTGTTTAACCATGGCCCTGTGACACTTTTTACTGGAGCCCTGTGACACCTTTTACTGGAGCAGTGGGAATATGGAGACTGTGAAGGTCAAAAATACATTCGGAGTACACAAATACAGTACACAAATATACAATTGAATTCACACACTATACGCAATCCAACTGCATTTACACACATACTGACGCATACATTATTTAGGTGAACTGTTTCAAATCAGAAAAAAACGTGGCCTGTCCCTTTAAATTTGAAAGCTCTGGTGTGCCAACAGTTGAATGTGCCTCAGCTCCAAATACTATTGGTGTGCCTCTGACAAGATTTCTTAAAGTGAACCTGTAGTAAAAAATATAAACTTACCTGAAATGCTTAAATATACATTGAAATCACCATATATTACAAAGATACATAATGCATTTAGTTAAAAATATAGAGATGTATTCACATTTCTTTGTGTAACACCCACCTTTGGGCCGTCCTCTAGTACTAGGGCCGGACTGGGGATACGAAGAAGCCCTGAAAAAAAAAATCTATGCCAGCCCCATAATTGTGCTATGTAGGGTGTTTATTTTTATATATATATATATATACCGTATTTTTCGCTCCATAAGACGCACTTTTTTTCCCCT